TCATTTTCACTGCCTCGCAGCTTGCCAACAGACCAGAGGGAAGGGAGAAGGGAAGAGATTGGAATGTGCATTCCAAACAATAACAAGAAATGGTCCCATGAGAATGAAGGACATTTCAACCGGTGTTCACCAGATCTTTCCATAACAACACTTGGACACCTAATTGGACAATGTGACCTAACTAATAATTGGAGGAGGGAGGATTTTAATTATACTGAATTGCCTGGGAATTCCCCAGAGTTGGTTTTCACTTTCATGCTGTGCTGAAATGATGTACCCAATAAAGCTTTGCATTAAGAGATTGGTTTGTCTCTTTGCTTGCTGGGTTGGGTTCATCAGTTGCTTGCCCCCCTCACAAAATCATCCCCTCTTTCCCCCCTCCCTCCGCTCTGGGCCACCAACCCAGAAGGGTTGGAGAACTCTGGAACTCTGGTATACTATAGCAATGTCATTCTTTTTTCCTATATGGATTCTAGGAGGTTTTGTGGATTTCTGTAGATGTGTAGTAATCTTTTACTAATGATGTAACTCCACCTCCTATTTCTTTTGAATAGTTTGTATCCTTGCACATTCCAGTCATGAGTTTCATCCCACCATGTTTCAGTAATAGCAGCTATATCATATTTCATATCTACCTTCATGTACTAGTACTTCAAGTTCACCCTGTTTGTTCCCTAAATTTTGAGCATTTAAGTCCTTTGTGGGTCTTGGGTATCTTGTATTTTGGGGTACATTTGTTTTATCTCCTACTTTGTAAATGGGTTTTCCATCCTTTCCCTCCTCTTTAATTCATTTTCCTTTTTTCCTTCTTTCTCTTTACTCCCTACCTCCTTATATGATTGGTTATCTAGTGGTTTTTGCATGGAATTAGGTTCTAAATAGGTTTTGAAGATTGCCCCCTTCCCCTCAATTTTAGTTTAAAGCTGTTCTGATAGGAAAAGCCAGTCGTTTTCTGTATATATTCTTTCCAGTTCTTGTGAGGTTCACTCCATCCATTTGTCAGTAGCCCTTAATGTAGGTAATTCAGACCATGGTCTAGGAAACTGAAATTCTCTTGATGACACCAATTTTTAAGTCTATGGTTCATTTCTAAAATCCTTTGCTCTCTCAGGGGTTTTGCCATAGCTTCGGTCTCTCCCTAGGTATTTGTGGATGAGGGCAATTATGAGTAATATTTTATTTGGGGATATGAAGAGGGGGGAGTTTGATTCCTTCCCAGAGCAGGTTAGTGGGGTGGGGAGGGAATGGGGATTTTGCAGTATCCTTCCCCTGTCATGCCCACCAAGCCACACCCACAGAACCCGCAGTAAAAATTTTTGAAACCCACCACTGCATAAGTCCATCTTAATATGCCTGGTATGTGATGTTTTGTATACATAAAGAGAAAGAAGCACTCTTGTAATCTTTGACTTTTAGGCTTGCTGTCAAACATCAGCCATAATATTAATGATTGTTTTGAACAATATGCAGGTTGTATTATATATGAAATTATGACTGAAATATTTCGGCACCTATATTGGTTCACACTGTAGGAAGTTTCTCCTTAGTTTTAGGTTGCTTCTCTCTTTGTTCTTTGTTCAGTTTCCATCCATTGCTTCTTGTTTTGCCTTCTGGTGCTTTGGAAAATACATTCCCCCCCTTCTTTCTGGCAGCCCCTTAAAAGTCTGTTGCCTATCACACTCTTGGGCAAAACATGTGAGCCATTTCCTCCTTTCAGTGGTCCATGAAAGTGCATCTATAGTATGTAGATAATAAAGTTGAAAAAATGTGAACATTTTTACAGAACTATAGATATGTTGAGGCTGGGCGAGACAAGGAATGGCTGGGAGGGGAGGGGCCAGGTGAGGCACCCCTTGACGTGAGTGACATTGAGTTGGCTACGCCTACTGTTACTGTCACATCAAGCCATGCCCACAAAATAAGCCAGGCCACAGAACTAGTAATAAAAAATTTTAAAACCCACCCCTGGACTTCAGCAACAGAGTGGTCAATGCCTGGAATGCACTACCTTACTCTGTTGTTACATCCTCAACCCGCCATAACTTTAACCTTAAACTGTCTACTGTTGACCTCACCAGTAAGAGGTCTGTAAGGGGAGTGAATAAGTGCACCAGTGTGCCTTCCGTCCCTATCCTACTGTCCCCATTTATTTGTTCCCATTTCCTGTATTAATATCCATGTTTATACTTATTCCTGTTATCTCATATATGTTTGACAAACTAAATAAATAAATTAAATAAATAAATATAAATAAATAAAATATCTCAGCTCTTTAGCTGAGGTGTGCTAATCTGAGGCCCTAGTTTTTCTCCTGATTTGCCACATCTTGCACTTCTTGCACATCTCAGCTGTTTAGCTGAGGTGTGCTAATTTGAGGCCCTAGTTTTTCTCCTGATTTGTACTTAACTTTCCCTTCCTCGTTATCTGATTTGTGTTTAGTTCTATTTGTTGCTCATTCTTCCCCACCAGTTTTAGTGTAAAGCACATCAGATGAGCTGAACCAGATGTTTTTCAAATGTACTCTTGCCAGTCTTCATGAGCTGCAGTCCATCTCTGGTAATGTTACCAATGGTCTAGAAAGCCAAAATTTTCACAATGGCACCATCCTTTGAGCCAGAAATTTACTTTTAAAATCCTCTGTTCCCTCATTGGATTTTGACCTTCAGTTGAGGGAATAGAGGACATTCAACATCCAATGAGGGAACAGAGATAGAAGTAAATCACTGGCTGAAAAGATGGTGAATTTAGAATACATGGTGATTTAGAATACATGGAGACCCAGTGAATTGAAAATAAAAGCAAAACCTTACTGGTTACAATATTTGCTTCAGGATCCCAAAGTTCTTGCTTTGTTGATTCACAAGACTGGTAGCTATTGTTGATTTTCAAGTGTGTACTGTTGATGGGATTTGGAAAGGGCTCAAGCCCAACTTTTGTCTTATCTATGTCATGAAGGATTTTTCAAAGTCGCCTCCCATACTGCCTTGTGTTTACCTACCACAGCAGTGGGGCAACCCTAGAAATTGATTAAAGGGAGGTGTTCTGAGACCAGTTTCCTCAGAATCTGCGTTCTCAGTTTACTCTTCCCCCTTTACAGCTAGGATTGGAACTTTCTTTAAAGCTTTTGTTAATTGTTCCTATTGAAGCAGTTAGAGAAGCTGCTCTTTCTCCTTAATTTTCCTTTCATTTTCCTCTTCTGATCCATGCCTTCCTTGTTGATTTCTTTTCAATTGTTGCATCTGCTCCTTCAAGCTCCTACTAGAAGCCTCATCCCATCTCTCCATGTTTTCTCCTAAATCTCTCAGCTTTTACCACATTTGCACACACTCATCTCTATTCTTCATTCTCTGCCCCTGGTTGCTCCACAAATTCCTATTCCTATTGTCTCTTTCCCATCTTTCTTTTATTACTTGCACATCCCCCACATTCTTTACTTTCCTCCCCAACTTGTCTAACAACTTTCCTTGCTTCTTGCAAATCTGTTTCCAAAGTGATTACTGGGTAAGTTACTCCACTCACCCAATCCAAGATTGCTCAGTGCACTGTAAACTACACTCCTTTTAAAGACCGATTGCTCCAAGAGCACTGCATGATGTCACCATAGTTTACCTCTCATCCCTCTTATTAGAAGGCTTTATTCCAGCTATGTACTGGTACTATAAATAGAAATGGCAGAATTTTAAAGGGACCTCTTTCTCCTGCCGATCCCCAATGGCTTTAAAACATAATGTATGCCATTCATTATGTTCTGTACCATGTTTTGGAGCTGGTCACCTGAATTGGGGGAATTAGGATTTTGTTGGTAAATGTGCCATTTAGTGCAGATTTCAGACAAATTGTGCTGGAAGTTGATGTAGCCAGCATGTCCTTTGAGAGGATGGGGCTCAAGGCCCCCAGATGTGTAACAATCTGTTTCAGCTCTCTCCCCTTAAAGAGGTATGAATGACTATTTCCCATTGCTGGTTTTGGACATTTCTGTGCCATGTTTATTCTCTGATTTCCATTACTGCAGAGAGATTTGTTAAATAAGCCACCTCTTTCTGAGCTGCTTTTCTCCACAGCACAGCGCTTTCCTAAAAAATGCCAGGTGGAAGTTTATAAGATCAGTTTTGTGGTTTTAATCAGATAAGAACCCTGCTGCCTGAAATTAACCACATTTTAATCAGATAAGAACTCTGTTGCCTGAAACTGAAGCCTTTTGTTGTACTAAAAGCTGCCATTGTTCATCAGGATAGTACTAATTGTGAATAGTCGCTAAAAAATAACTTCCTATATAAAGTTTTCTACCTTTCTAGTGTAAAATACAATTCATGAAGAGGTAGATACAGGAATGCCTCACAATTGTTGCTGTGTAAACAGAAGTATTTTCCATTAACATAAAAATTCTTGACTATCTTTGTTTAAGGTCACTTAATTTTATAGACAAATAAAAGGCCCAGCCTCTCCCCCTTATTCAAGAAAGTAAAGACTCTTGAAACATAGAATTTCAAAAGGAACCTTTTATTGAAAAGGGGTGATAGCAAGGCAGATTCAAAGCAGGCTCTGGGGTCCCTCAGGGCATACAACTAGAATAAAAGAAATTAGAGACCCCTCCCAACAGTCCGATGTGGATCCAGCCAATCCGCAGGTGTGAAGATATTATTGTACCGGCCGCTCTGAGAAAGAGATAAGAGAACTTTCTCAGGGCCATCTTCCAGCGATGCAGTCCACATGGCCCATCCCAAGAGATGAGAAACTGCTAGGCATCTACGGCACCAGGCAATGGTTATAAATCAGGTGAAAGGTTATACAAGAAGGTTATACAAGCAGGGTATGGAATACATAGAAAGGAAAAAACAGTAAATGTATCAAGTGTAACATCCCCCCCTTCTGCAGAAGAAGGGCAGATCACGTATCTGACAACATGGAAGTTTGCAATATTATTGTTCTGTTATTTCTTAATTTAATTCCTTAATAATGCCTAATACTTTATCTTACTACCTGTTATCTTTGATTTTCAGTATGATTGGTGTTCCTGGATTCCAAATGCTCCTCCAACTATGCGCTGCCCACCACCTACAGAAAAGGGGAAAACCACCATTGAATATATCATCAAGAGTTTACCTGACAGGGGACGGTCTTGTTGGCATCTTGGTGCTGTTTGGGCTTTGAGTCAATTTCAGGAAAATGAAGTGAGGCTTGTCTCAATATTTAAATGCTTTTTTTAATTTATAACAAAAGTAAACTCCAAACACCACATTCTTCCTGGAAATCTGTTAAGTATGTTTATGTGTTTTAGTAGACTAGAGGAAAGTATTGTGTACGTGGACAACAAGGAAAGTTAAATAAAATGCTAAAAATATTTGTAAATATTGGCTAGATGATACTACTGTTATATAGACTTAACAGTTGGCTGAATGCACACACCTAAAATAATTATTGTTAATTATTCTACTTCATCTTGGAAGGTAGTTTCTTTCCAAGTAACTTCACAACTTCACAGGCTATTGCTCAACATTTTTATCAGTTTTGATGAAATGATGAAATGATAAAATGAATAATATCATTTTAACATTTTTTTGCGCACGCAAAGCGCGTGCGTGAAGCAAACCGGTGGTAACACCGGTTGAAACCAACCACTGAATAGGATGGAATTTAATAAGAATTAATATAAAGTTCTGCATCTGGATTGGAAAAACCTAACGTCCAAATATAGGATGGAGGAAAACCAAAAACAATAGGTCCACTATTCAGAAAATTAATTTGATTTGGAAATTGAATCAAATTATCTTTGAATTGAATCTCTAAATTAAAATTTGGCACAACACTATAGGACATATAAAAGGTTAAATGTACTAAAGTAATGACAATAAGAACTACAAGCTTATAATGACATTGAACTGGTAAGATAGCTTTTGTATTCTAGATTCAGTCACCTACATCAAAGGATCTAGCAACTAGTACTTGGTGAGCTGCAATGAAAATCTTTGCTATATTCTGATTATAATATTTGTAAAACCTTGTCTACTTTTTCCAATATGTTGCATGTTTTCGGTCTTCTCCATTCAGGTGTTTCTGGGAATATATCCAGATGAACACTTCACAGAGAAGCCAGTGAAAGAGGCCATGAGGAAATTCCGCAAGAATCTTGATGGAATTGCCAGTTACATTGCTGAACGTAACAGGAATAAAAAACTCCCCTATTATTATCTTTCCCCAGATCAAATTCCTAATAGTGTGGCTGTCTAATTTTTAAAAAATTAAGAATTAGTGTAGCTAGCCAAATGGAAAATTATCTGAAGCATAAAAAAATATATAATCATTTGTCCAAAATGGTATAGGATCTCCTGCTTGAGCAGTTGAGATTGCCAAAGTCTCTTCCAACTCTATTATTCTTATGTTCCATAACAGCAGAAAAAAATTACTTGTTTTAGAAAGTACTTCTATAAAAACTTGCTACTATTCTACTATCTTTTAAAGTACCATAATGGCTAGATATTGCTGATTAGAAAAAATTGAAAATACTCTGATTTGTAAATGTTTTACAGAGCAAATGTATGTGACTCTGACTTTCAAATGTTTTTAAACTACCCTGCAAGTATAACCAGCATAATCAGTGGGAAAGAAACCAGGAGCAGCAATATTTCAAGGACACAGTTCTCACTCTCTCACCAAGAATAATTTCTGTTTTTTTACTGCAAATGTGAAAAACAGTAATGATATACATTAACATCAATAAAATGTATAAAATGCTTCTGTCATCAATAATGTGTCTTTTTAAAGAAATTAAAGGGTACTGGTTTTTAATACAGCATACTTTTGCCACAAGTATTGTGAATCAAGAACTAATTTCTGAATTATTATTATCTGTAGGTGAATAGAATGGAATGGAATGGAACGGAACTTTATTGTCACGTTGAATGTACACTATAATGTACATAAATATTTATTTATTCTCTGTATTTTCTACATTCTACAGTTTATTTTTTACTGATATTACTGATTTCCTCTGTAGTAAATGCAGGGAAATTTGATTTCAAGAAATTCAGAAAAGGCAAAATCTGTTCATTAAAAAAGTCAGGATAAAAGTATATATGTCAGGCATGCCTCCTTTCAAAACCCAAGAAAGGAAAACCCCAACGCCATGTTTGTAGAGAAAAGATACTTTTACTGAGTTTGAAATAACATCGAAAGAAAAGCAAGATCTGAAACAAAAAGCGTGAAAGTTACATATTGAAAGTATCCCCAAATCCCTCCCCCAAGGACCCAGGGTAAATGTCCAATCCCTTCCAGGCACATCTTCAGATGTTTTCGCCCATCTGATAATCTGGAACGGTTGACCTTGACTGGGTATAAACAAGTCCATACAGTTGTGCAGTAGAACATGGGAGCAAACTTCCCTTTTCGTTCACACGGGGCATCTCTCTCCAGTTCACATCCCCCTCCCAAATGCAGTAGACGTGTTAGCCCTGGAGAAAAAAACAAAACAAAAGAAACCAGATAGAAACAACATAACAACCCAATATAGAAGAGATTTTACAGTAAGAAGACTAAGGCTTATCAGGATATTTAGTGTGAAACAGTTGTAAAAGTTTTAGTGCTCTGACATTTCGCTCATTCACCCATTCAGGGATTGAAGCGCTGAACTGCTGACTTTTTGATCGACAAGCTCAGCATCTTAGCCCCTGAGCCACCCCATCTCTTTATAGTGAATATCAAAATGTAATTCAGCCAATAAGCTTCCCTTTTCAAATGTACATCGAAATGAAAAAGCTGTCATATGTTCCCCCAGTCCTGGAGAATTAAGAAAACCACTTTTTGTCAGGTTTCAGTCTTTCTCTAAGGAGTTAGTTCAAGACCTAATTTGTAAAGCTATGAGGCCCACTATAGTGTATACAGAATTAACTTCTTTTTCTTCTTTGTCAGATTTGCAGAAGAAACACATATTCATGTTCCCCACGGTCTGAAAAGTGCAAAAACATATTCAATTTTCAAATACGAGCTTTCCCTGAGGAGTTAGACTAGTGGTTCTCAACCTTCCTAATGCTGCAACCCTTTAATTCAGTTCCTCATGTTGTAGTGACCCCCAACCAGGGGTGGGTTCTAAATTTTTTTACTACCGGTTCTGTGGGTGTGGCTTAGATGTCATGTGACTGGGTGGGCGTGGCTAGCAGGTCATGTGACCAGGTGGCCATGATTATGTGTATAGGGACTACTCAGAGGGCTGAAAAAAGTCATTTCTGACAGGTCCTCGCACTTTTGATTGGTCCTCACACTTATGACCATCCTCACATTTATGCCTGTGCAGCATTCTTAACAACCATGTCACTCATTTCACAATTGCTTCTCTTCACCATGGTGACAAGATAGGGAGAAAAACGTAAAATGTGAGGACAGTCGTAAGTTCAAGGACTGGTCAAAAGTGCGAGCACCAGTCAAAAATAACTTTTTCAGCCCTCTGAGTAGTCCATATGCACAAAAGGACTACCCAGAGGGCTGAAAAAAGTGATTTCTGACAGGTCCTCGCAAATCAAAGATTTCTGAGACCAATGGTGAATACTTAAATTTCAGTAGTCACCAATCCCAGTCTTAAACTGAGTTTAGAATCAGTGGGAATCGCTGGTAACAATGAACTAACTAACTACTGATAATGAGTCCAGTCCTGCCTTTCTTTTCCTTCTGTCCAAGTTTTGCAAGTACTTTTTCCAGGTATATGTTTTATTCCAAAGTATACAAACCATTATTGTTAGGGAAAAAATGGGTCTTCCAAGCAATTTTAAAAGACACTGTCAGAATGACTCTGCTCTCAGCCCCCCTTGTGGCTCCTTGAAAAGCATCCCCCCCATATGTAAATGAAAAGAATAAGCTTAAAAATCCTAGCCTTTTAAAATTGAAAATATGGAGAATTGGGAGGATGAATTTGAGACACTAAGGGAGATGTTTCAAAAAGTAAGGAGGCATTTAAGGGAAATAAAAACAGAGAATTGGTTAGCTTGCAAAAAAAGAAAGAGAAAAGAAAGAGAAGCAAGAGAAACGAGATAATATTGAAAAGGAAATAATTGAAAAAAAAGATAAAGATGATTACACTGGGTTCAATAGAAAAAACGGAATAAGATGAAATATACTGCTAATAATTAAAAAGATGAGGGGAAATTTTGAGAAATATACTTGATAAATGAAAGGAAGACCGGGGTTGCCTGGACTCCATAGTGGAAAATATAAAATTGAAAATGAATATAGCAATAGAGAGGGATGAAGGAAGGAGAAGAGAGATGGAAGAGGGAAGGAAGAGAAGGGAGGAAGGAAGGGAAGGGAAATTAGAGTAAGAGGGAGGGTAAGAGAGGGAGGAAGAGAGGAGGAGAAGGAGAAAGGAAGAGGGAGGAGAAGAAGAAGGGGAAGAGAAAGTATGAAGGAAAGAAAAGAGAGAGGTGGTAGGTTTGAGGAGAAAGATTGCTGTACAATAAAAAAGATGAAAGGGAAGAAAGCCAACCCCAAACAAATGTAAAGATATTAAGATAAAGAATGAATTGTTAAACTTTAAAGAATAAAAGAGAACAAATATGAATAAATAGCAATAATTAGAAACACATGTACAAAACATACAATGTATTTTCTTTGAACAGAGTATTTGGCTGTTTCACAAATTTAAACAGTGTTTAGTCATTTCAATTAAATTTACAATTTCTATATTTCCTTTTTGCCATATTTATTCCTCATCTATTTTTTTAAAAAACCAATATTACCCTTCATCCTCATCTCTAATCTTAATCAAATTCATTGGAGTATGCACAGCCCCAAAAACATTTCAGCATAACATTTCCAAAAATAAAGTGGGATTGTCTGCACCAACTTGAAGTTCCAGTGGGTTTCCATTGCGCCTGGGAAACTTCATGTCAGGTGTGCTTTATGTGCTAGAGAAGGTAGTCTCAGATGCCATGAATTAGTTAATTAAAAACTAAATGAATTCTCCCCTGATTTCTAAGCAGGGGGCAAAAGCATGAATATAAATGGAGATTTCAGATCATTCCCTTGTACATGAAATTAGATTTCCTGCATTATTTGTGTTGTAGTTGCTACTACATGATTATGATCTAATTCCAAGTTTAGGTATGAGTTGTGAAACTCCTTCTTTAGCCATTTCAGCAATGACCTCCACAATGTAATCTTGAGAGATGCTATACTGCTAGAAACCTGGTGGGTGAGCCCTGGGGGACCTCCCTCTGCCAAGACCTATAATTTACTGGCATTCAGAGACCCAGTTAAAATATTGTGTCTCATTGTTAACTCTTAGCCATGACGGCAGCTAAAATATAGAGCCTGAGTGGCGCAGCAGACTAATGCTACTGTTAAAGGTAGTATTTAGCTTCCAGCTGCCTGCAGTTACTGCGAGTTCAATTCTCACCAGGCTCAAGGTTGACTCAGCCTTCCATCCTTTCTAAGGTAGGTAAAATGAGGAGCCGGTTTGTGGGGGCAATAAGCTGACTTTGCATAAAATATACAAAAGTATGAAGGCTATTGCTTAATGCCTTGTAAGCCGCCCTGAGTCTCCGGAGAAGGGCGGCATATAAATCAAAATAAATAATATATATATCGGAGTGTACTGGTTCACAGCTCCTGCATATATACTACAATGTCTATAGCCTCTAGCTAGGTTTTTGATTTATTTATTTTGTGCATTTCAATTAGTTGAGGTCTGGCAACTGCCTGGACTAATCCCTGCAGTTTTCATGGCAAGATTTTGGAACTGGTTACCTCCTTCCTAGGTTTGAGAGCCCCAAAGTCACCCAGCTGGCTTTGTGCATCTGATTGGAACTAGAACTCACAGTCTCCCAGTTTCTAGCCTGGGGCTTTAACCACTGCACCAAACTGGCTTTATGCTTTTAATAATCACGGTCAAATGTAGCACCCATTCTATCCTACTCAGCTCATGTGAATCTCTCACTGATGGCACTTGCCTGCCTCTTTGGGTCTGTTCTGGGGCAGATGTGCTGGAATCCAAACAGGTATGAAAAGTTATCATTAAAGTAATATTCTCTCTCCATGAGCTTTTATTTTTAAGTAATCATTGTTTGATCAAATAACAGACTGTCAGGTAACAAAGGGTTGTAACTAAATATAACCTGGCTTGTAAAATCTCTAGTGGGGATTTGGACTTGTCACATTTTTCTACCGTATGTATTATTTACTATAGACTGAAAGTGGAGTTTATTAATAATTCTCTGCGTGTTTTGTTCTACAGATAGGATATTTCTTCAGCAATTTGTTCTTGCTCCTCGGGTGACTTCAATAAAAATTGGATTTTCTGTTCTTTGCAAGTAAGAAGGCGTGCATTTTAGAAGAACAAGAGCAAGGCTGACTCTAGAAGGGAAGCATCTGCATTACGGCAAGAAATATATGCAGAAAAATAAGAGTGCCGGCTCTCATTGCAAGCACAGCCCCTCTAAATATTATTTAAAGAAGGGGTGTCCAACCTTGACAACTTTAAGACTCATGGACTTCAACTCTCAAATGGCTGGCTGGGGAATTCTGAGAGTTGAAATCCACATGTCTTAAAGTTGCCAAGGTTGGAGACCCCTGCTTTAAAGCAATTGTTGTGTCCAGAGTCCATGCAAATACAAATTTAAAAAAACAAAACGCTGTATTCCTTAGCAAAGCAAACTGAACTGAAAACTGATGGATCCCTAAAGTTACCTCTGGACTGTTTTCAGCAAGTGTCCCTCTGTCCCCCAATACTGAACTTTTGTTCTCAATAA